GCGAGGAACTTGGGGTTAACGGCACAGAAGTGGTTGTCATGGACGCTGTGAGTGATGGGAATTCCCTCGTAACACTGTTCCCTGCTTCCCACTTTTCCGTAAACATGCCGGAACTTTGAGTTTCTGTACGTCGAGTGCCACGACATCTATAGAAGACGAACGCAGCGAGAAAACACCAGTTAGCAAACTAAACCAGCAGCATTGATAATATATCACACACACACATATATACATATACAGTCAAACCAAAATGTATTCAGACACCTTCAACATCACATTTATAATGGTAGTAAAGCAGAACTCAGCTGATATTTGACTGGTTTTGTCCGTCCTTCTGTTCGACTCTCACACATGAATTATGTTGAATATCTGTTAAATTTAACTCCACAGTTAGATAATACCAGTTTAGCTCAACCAGTGGCCAAGCAATGCTTCACGTTGATCAGTCTGTGTGTAAAAAGAGCATTAGCACTTACAGAAAACACACTTCAGCAGAACATCATCAGCTCAAAGTGGAGGACTCATTTTTGATCCCAAATTTGTATGTTATTGTTAGTCACTGTATGAAGAATGTTTGGGTATAATATGTCTCAGTTTACTTTAATTTGCTCTCATCACTTTCATAAATGAACTATAGTGTCCTGCACACACTAGAAAACAAATATTAAAAATTATATCTGGTGTTTGAATAGTTTTTGGTTTGACTGTTTATATATTTATACATATATTATCCCATATAACACACAGACATTTAATATTCAAACAATCTATTTGTACAGTAGTGACACACTTTTCACATTGATTAATCCGAGATTATTATTATTTCTCCGCATGACGATCATTCAGCTGAACAGTTCTAGCATGTTTCTGTTGTGTGTCTCTGAGGTTTATAACACGCGTCCCACATGTTCAAACGCCACCAATCACTCAGAGAGCGAATACATGACCTATTTTCTCTCTCTCTCTCTCTCTCTCTCTCTCTCTCTCTCTCTCTCTCTCTGACAGCAGTGGTGACGTTGTTCGCGTTGACGGCAGGGATTGTGTAACTTGATTTAATGAGTTGGAGGATTTGCAGGAGAAAGATGAGCTACATAATCTTCTTCAGGCGTTTCAGGATGAAAAAGAAACACAGAATGAATGTTTCTCACATGTTTTATTGTCACTATAGCTCAAAAATCTGAACTTTACCTACTTCAAATTTGTGAAGTGACTGATTCTGATTCTGATCCTCTCATCCTGTGGTTTGCGTTTCATTGTTTGCTATTGTTTCAGCTCAATTCCTGCTTTGCCCTCGTGCGTTTCCTTCTTTTGCTCTTAAACACACACACACACACACACACACACACACAAAAACTCGAACCGAATCTTCAGGGATTCAGACACAATGGGGATCCATCCGCAGCTTCTGCTCGAGACCGGACGAGGATTATATTAATATCTCCATATACAGACAACACGAGCACGTTTAACCATCGCACTTTAACTCAAGTGTGTGATTGTGATTGAAATTAGAGCTCTAGAAATGAAGAAAGTTAAAGTTGTGTGTTTCAAGATTCACACACATTCCCTGTTGCTTGTTTTTATTGGATAATCAGTTTTTTAAAAGATTCACTGGAAAAAAGAAAAGGTGAAAAACACTTTTTAATCAGTTTTGTCTCATATAGTAAAATGTCTTTAAATAAGATGCATTTTATTTTTACAAAATATTAAAAATTTAGTTTATTTTCCGTACCACATTGGTAAATTACTTGTTTTAAGCATTAATGTAACAATGAGCGAGTTCTGCGATTAAAATGAGAGAAAAAGTTTGGCACACTGTTATGAGTTCATTGATATTAAAAATTGTAACAGAAACTCAAAATATTATGTTATCTGAACTACATTAATTATCTCGGTTGATTTGAGAAAAGAAAAAAAAGTTGTGATAAATCATGAAAATAGTGAAGCTTAATATGTTTTACTACGAAACAAGACAAAAAAGATTTTGCTTTGCATACAACAAAATAAAGTCAAATATTTTAAGCTTTCTTCGATATTTCTCTTAGGTATTATATATAATTTGCTTATATAAATACAAATTTAATTGGTGATATTGTCATATATAGTGAGTTGCATGTTTAAATGTACAAAAAATGTATACATATATCAAATATTCCTCTAGTTACTGTATACTAGAAATGTGTATATATTAATATGTGTGTATATGTATATATGTGTGTGTGTGTGGCTAATTTCTAGCATAACTGAATTTTTTTTTAAATTATTATATCCGGCATCTTCATTCAAACTCAGGTGTCTGTCTTCTTACCGTATAAGTTTGGTCATGAAGATCTGCTCTTTTGGTCCCAGAATGCTCTTCTGCTGCTGATCTAATAAAGGAGGAAGACAGAGAGAGTAAATGACACACAACACACATCTGCTGCTATGATTGAAACACACACACACACACACACACACAACACCATGCTGGAAACACGACTCCTCCCTCCCGCATCTCTCTCTCTGGTGATTATATAACACATGCAGTTTCTGACTGATGAATCCACTTGTTCAATCTCGCAAAAAGCTTCATTCTAAAGTCCAAATGTAGATGTTTTACCTTTTGCATTTACGGTACAATGTAAAATGCAAAGTTCAATATGAAATATGTCTCCAAACATTAATCTGTAGAACTGAATGATCATGAAAGCCCTGCATGTAAAGGCCACGTGTTGAGTATTATGATAGAATTATAATAGAATTCATGTCAGCGCAGGAACAGTCCAGTTAAACTGAACGAAATGAGGTCAATTTACATTATTTGGGAAAGATTCACATCATATCTTGAGCGTATGTTCATCATTCAGCTTCATAATAATAGTAATATAGTTTTCATAATAGTAAATAGTAATAAATTCGCAGGGAAAGCAGGAACTGATACGAATATAAATGTTTAATTGAAATGCAAGGAGTAAAGCATCTGCATAATTGTAAATGTCAAAATAAAAGTGGTGTGACGCCCTCGTGTGGCGGTGAGATGAAACACACACACACACACACACACAAACGGATGAGCGCACGCTTCAGACTGACTTCACTTCTGGCTGATGTTGTTTCAGTGTTTTGAGGTTAATGTGACGCAGGTTTAACTGAAGCGTGTTTTGGCTGTGAACATTACGAGTTGAAACACTCCCACAAAGTCTATATTTAATGGTTTATAGCGGCCTGACGTCTGCCGATCCATATTCCAGATTATTTCCATGGGTTTTTGCACCAATTTCTTAATCGTTCTTCAACAAAATACACACTCTGCAATTAAAACGATGTTTTCCATGTTTTAAAACAAGATCGCAACACTTAGATATTAGGGCACATTTTTAAAGAATATATATTTCTTGAACATAATTGTTCGTTTTTTTTCTAACTGCACTGGTAGATTTTTTTAACTCTTTTTTTTAATACTTAAAACAAGTAATAAAAATGTATTTAACATATAAATTGTATACTTTAAATTTGTTTTTAGTTTAAACTCAAAACAAGTGAAAAGACAATTATCTCTGAAGACGAGTCTTGAGTATCTTTTGCTTGTCAAGTATACTTCTAGTTTTAGGATTTGTAGATGTTTTAAAGGTGCATTATGTAAAAACAAAACATAAATATGCTCTGTAGTTTTGTATTAGCTTGTTTTAAGGGCTGTTAAGGATGTGTAGATATTTTTACATTGATTATAGACATTGAGAACATGCACTAAATGTGTATTTTGTCTTTTTCTGTTGACCACAACAGCTCAATGGTGTTATTTTTCAAGGAATGAATGTGGAGAAAAAACAAAAAACACAAATAATGACTTAAATTTGGGTCTGTTTCTTCCTGAATACTTTTATAGCGCCTTTTTGGGATCTTGACACCATCTTTTTTTGTTCCATGGAAGCAGGTTTGTCATATAAACGTTGTTTTTTCTGTGAGCTAGAAGATTATTGTGGTATTAAGAGAATTTCAATAGAGTTAATCATCTCCTGCTTTGCTTTTCTAGCGTATCAAAGATCTCCTCGTGTCTGGAGTCTCTTAAAAACACGAGTCATGAAGGTCAGCGGTCTCTGATGTGGTTTAATAGTGTTATATCCCCCACCAGCTTCCAGGATATTCCTCTGTTTACTTTGGTTTCCAGAAGAGCGACGCCCACTTTTGACAAACTATAGAAATCACTAGTAAATTTCACATAAAAATTATCGAATGGCAAGCAACACTAAATTGCACATGAAATTTTGAAGAAAATGTTCTTCCTCTGTGTTTTGGTCTTGTTTTCCAGTATCTAAACAATCTTAAATCTTGTTTTCTGAAAAATGTATAATTTAATTGAATTATTAATGGATAAATATGATATGATCAATAGGTTATGACAACATTTCTGTAACTTGTCAAAATAAATTAAGCAATTTTCAACTTTTTTTTGAATAAATTAAACAATATTCAGTTTCATGTACTTTTGACTTAAACATCCAAGTTGATTGAACTAAAGAAAATGAGTTTTGAATACTTTGAATATCATCTTTTTTATAGTGCAGAGATCACATTACATCACTGTACTGTTTTTGTCCAGAGGTTTTAGCTTGAAATCGAGTGTATGGATTTGAAATAAAGCTTCATGCAACACGAGACTGAACTTAAAGCCACAATTTTGATTTCTTGAGGTCTTTAAAGAGTGTAAACTACCATGTTATGGAAGTGCGTTGAGCTCTGTGGTGTTTCCCGACAGATGTAGAGTCCAGAGAGATGAACATTTGGAGAGAGAGAGAGAGAGAGAGAGAGAGAGAGAGAGAGAGAGAGCAGTAAAAACTCAGCCTGGTCTAATAAACACAGTTCACCGGTACCTGCTCCAAACTCTCTCTCTCTCTCTGTGCGAGTCTGAGGTCGATCGACCCGTTTTCAGCTCCTCCTCCTCAGATGTAGTTCTGCTGCGGTTCAGTCAGGTTCAGACCCGAGTGTGTGCTCTCGCTGTGAGGACCTCATGCACACACACACATACACTGACTGATTCACGTATGAACTTATGGAGTACATGTACATCTTGCTGTTGTGGATCGGCGCTCTGCTGCCAGGTGAGCTAGATTATGATTGTCAGGTGTACACTGCAAAATATGAAATTTTAACTTGTTTTACAGTACAAATGTCTAAATATTTTTTAAATCAAGATACTGGAGAAGCTAAATGGCTTATGATATTTATGCTTAGAACAAATATCTGTCAGTGGGGTCAGAGAAATCAACTTAATTCAAAGGGGAAAGCAAGTGTATTTTTATGACCCCACTAAGATACGCATAAATTAATTTCATTTTAAGACTTAATATCTGAAGGCATTTTGCTTCTCAAGGAAATCTACCTTGTACTAAAGTATAGTAAACATTTGATCAAAGTTCAAAGTTGTCCTAAGACAAGAAAGGGTATTGTTCAAAATTAATTGGATGAAAGCTTTTGATCCAATGTTGACAATAGAAATCAAGACAAATACACTGAGGAAGAAAGCATGTTTTGTGGCACTTTTTGCGATATGTGAGACGAATCAGACTAAATCTGTGAAGTATATGATGTTTATTTCTCCTGGGAGTCACTATGAGTCACTATAGTTGTCATCCAGCGAAAGGATGAGGTTATAAAATGAATGTGGAGCCGCTCAGGTAATTTGATGAGAAATTATATTGAGTTTTGGCACAGTTTGAGACATTTTTTTTCCGAAACCGAGTGGATACGTGTGCAAATTCTCTTTAATTTAATCTCATTTTTGCCTAAAATCAAGATATTAAAGACTTATTTTTACTAACAACCATGTAAAACAGTCACAATTGTTTTGCACTTTCTAAATTCTGAGAAATTTAGTATTTGACACATTACTGTAGATTTTAGTGAGTGTTGCTCGTGGGTTTTATCGGGTTGTTCTCCAAGTTCAGTAAAGTGAACGTTTTATTGCTTTGGGAACGACAGGTTGATAAAGGAGGAGGAATTACTGTGTGACCTTCAACCAAAACATCCAGATAGACTTTTATGAGCAGGATCAAACACACAATCTGGACCCACTTAGACACTCACTCATCTAATGGACCTACACAAGAGGGCCTGTAGCCTACTTTGATTTCATTAGCTTATAGCGAGTCAGGAAAAGATGTACTGATGAGAAGAATAAAGCCATCTTCATTTGCCAGCATTCAATAATAATAAAAAGTTTGGGAAGCATAAATCCATCTCTCCGTTAGCGCTGCGTTTGCATGAGGCCTCCAGCAGAGGGCACGGGTTTATTACACTGTTTACCTGCGTCTCTGAGCTCTTAAACACTGTCATTGATAAACAATATACGTCTCAAAGTGGAAAAAGTACGTCTGAGGCGAGATATTTTCAGGGAATGCTTTGGAAAAAGGACCCAATTCCTGGCTTACTCCCATTAATAACAACTGGAACAACTTTAAAGCCCAAACACCATGTGAAAGATCTTAAGGACTGCATTTTGTTGTCACTGTGTAATGAAAAACATAAAAACGTGCGGTGATGTTGGATGTTTCTCGTTGTTTTCGTCGCCATGGCGAAGCTCCCGGAGAGCGCTCTGATTGGCTGACACTGTCTCGGCCGGGAGTTCTGGCGGAAGTTCGGATACGCGAATTTTATGAGTACGAGTACCAAAACATCCGTCAGTCTGACAGATTTTAACCTACTTTCAGGTACGGCTTTTCAAATATTTACTTTTGGGATACAAAACATAAAAACGTGCGGTGATGTAGGATGTTTCTCGTTGTTTTCGTCGCCATGGCGAAGCTCCCGGAGAGCGCTCTGATTGGCTGACACTGTCTCGGCCGGGAGTTATAGCGGAAGTTCGGAATCGGATACACGAATTTTATGAGTACGAGTACCAAAACATCCGTCCGTCTGACAGATTTTAACCTACTTTCAGGTACGGCTTTTCAAATATTTACTTTTGGGATACATAAGTTACCTAATTATGCTCTCTTTAACTGCACTGCAAAAAAATAAAGTAAAGAAATGTGTGTCGAACTTGGTATTTTTGTCTTGTTTTCCTGCACAAATATCTAAAAATTCTCAAAAATCAAGATAAATGTACTTGAGCTAAATGGCTTTAAGATATTAAGTCATATTGTCTCATAACACAAAATTAAGTGAGTTTTTCTTAAAATAAGAACAATTATCTGCCATTGGGGGTCAGAAAAATACACTTTCCAAATACAAAAAGGGAAATAAAGACTTTTTTCGTCAGTACGATATTTTTTTTCTTGTTTTAAGCAAAACCTCTGAGTCCTTCAATATTGTTCCAGTAAATCCGACTTAATATCTTCAGACATTTTGCCGTATACAGTATATTGGTTTATGCCTAAGCATGTTTAGCTTATTTGTGCTGAAAACAAGACAGAAATACTACATTTTGCAGGTTGGATCTCCAAATCATGTGTCTTTTTGAGGAGAAGTGCTGTTTCTTTATTAAGTGCTCAGACACATGATGATTTTCACCTGTTGGACAGTAAAACAGGTGGGAAAAACACTGAATGAGGGACATGAGCCATATCTAGAGACTTGGATGAGTCAGTAGAGCCACCTGTTCAATAACTCAGAAATAAGAGAGCTTTCCCAGAATCCTCTTGTGAAGACTTTACCATCCTGGAATCTTACGCAGTGAGTTTAATGTCTGGTTCGGTTCATTTCTGGCCCAAAGTGTTGGTCATTTGAGCCAGAACCGGTCTGAAAGAAATGTGATATAAATAATCCAGCTCTGGATATTTTTGTCTCAATCTAATTTAAATGTCTGCATTTGACCTAATATATGTATTTTTATGCAGTTCACAATAAGGTTGCTCACTAAGTATTGGAGCAGAGCGACAGATTAACATGCAGGCCTGAGATGATCCGAGAGCTACTGTGTGAATTAAAACACATGTGAATCACACATGAAGCATGACTGACACCAGATCCTCTCGAGAATCCAGAGCATAACATTCGTTATAGTCATTAATATTGTAAAGTGACTGTAATTTAGCCACAGATCTCAGCAGGTTTCACAATAACAAGGAACATTTGGCTCATATTCCCCGAGATGGGTTATTAAAGGAGTGTTTTGGGTTTTGTTACTGTTGTTAACTAAAACTAATAAAAAAATCTTTTTGGTTACTGAAGTAATATATAAAATAAAACATGACATGCCCAAGTGATACTCAAGCTCCTGTCCTTTTCCTCTCTGACTAAATAGGACATTTTTTATTTTATATTTTAGTTTTTTTTTAGTGCATGGCATCAATTCCCATTGATTCATGTCTCACTGATTTGCATGGTGACAGTCAGGTAACAAATAGTTTTTACCCTAAGCTTTCACTGCTGCCAACTGATCTGCTGTCTTTGACATCACAGTGGCTATAGTGAAGGGTTTGGGATCATGTGATGCCTTCCATCATGACGTCTTCCTAGGTCACATGACATTACATCATAGTTGATTGGCTCTAAACACACCATGCCAGAAAAGAGAACTCATGAGCTAATGTCATGCACATCCATTAACTGATAACATTTCTACATATTATAGACCAACTTTTAGAGGTTCACAGTTCTTCTCTAAACCCTCAAAGAGTATTTAACCCAGAACATTCCTGTATTTACATAGCTGACGCTTTTATCCAAAGCGACTTACAATTGCTATATATGTCAGAGGTCGCATGCGTCTGGAGCAACTAGGGGTTAAGTGTCTTGCTCAGGGACACATTGGTGTCTCACAGTGGATTCGAACCCGGGTCTCTCACACCAAAGGCATGTGTCTTATCCACTGCACACAAACCTATGAGATTGTGAATATGAGAAATATATTTCCATTTTTGATGTGTCGGCTTCACAACAGGCTGATGACTTTTCATCCTGCTGAGAAAAAGAGAATACAGACAGAGGTAATATGACTGAATTTTTTTCCCCACATAAGGAGAAAAGTTTCCCCAGGAAATTAAACTGTGACATCACTTCTACAATACCACATTCAAGTGACCTTCCCCAATAAACATTTAAATAAAATCCAGAGGCACTGCGAATGTCCATCCAGATCCCGAGGGAATGGGAATAGACCATCACAGGGCAGATTATCCCCTGCCGACGGCGTTAAGCCATTTAAGCCATTATTGACTCTTAATCATCTTTGTGCACCATGTGAGATAAATTGTCTCTTAAAAAAAAATAAGAAAAAAGATAAGGTAGAATATAGTAGAAAAGGTAGCATATCATTTAAACATTTTATCAGTGACTTAATCTTAATTTGATTTATTACACTACAAAAATATCTAAGCATTCCTAAATCCATATGCAATTAACTGGAGAATAAGTAAGTAAATTCGAGTAAATTACACACTTATGTGTGTGTGTGTGTGTGAGAGGAAAACTTCGGTTTTTGTTTCCACCTATCTCCATGTTGAACTGATTTATGTACTTACTGTATCCACTTATGATTGTATTATTATGGAAACACGTTCATGAACAATATAAGTTATTACTTTGTATAGGACCCGTTTGAGCCCCAGAGCAGACCGGAGATCTCTCCATTTGTTGAAAGATTCCCGATGTTGACTCGTCGTCTTATTTCGATGCCTGGCACTAGACACATGTTTTACGTGGAGTTTGCGTTGGGGTTTGAATGAACTACAAGCCGGTCTCTTTGAATCCATCTTCTACTTTTGTGGAAAGTTGACTAAAGTTGTTTCGCTCGAGTTGTCTTCGCTGATATGGAGAATGGCGGCGAATACACAAACCTGCCAGACATCGCCAGGTGAGCGTGAACATGACGTCACGCCCAGTCTCAAATCCGTCCCGAATCCCTCTTGCCGGTATTTATTTTACTGTACAGGATTATAGAGGCAATCAGTGATCAGAGAAGGGCTCATTCAGCCCATCAGGCGATTGTTTCAGCATGTATGGGTTAGAAAAACGGCTATTTTTAACATGAAATGTTGCGCAATGCACCTTTAAAATGAGTGAGTTTATATTTAAAACAACAAGAAGAAAAAATATGGCAATGGGGTCAGGAAACACACTTGATTCAAAGGGAAAACTAGTTTTTCTTTACCAGATATTTGCTCTTGTTTTAAACCTAAGTCTTATGGTTTTTAACCTCAGCATAAAAAGCATCCCGAATCATTTGCGCTCAAGATATGAATTATTCACTGCATAATAATCTATGGAAAGGTCTGCAAATGAAACATTTTGAACATGAAAATGTTAACATAATTGAATCCAATCAAAAAGCTGTTTTTGTCTATTTCAGGGCCGCGGATTTGCTTTAATATTGACACAAGACATGCAAAAATCATCAAGGGTTCGAAAGAGGCTCAGTTTGGATATACGGTTCAACAACACGAGGCCGGTGGGCGGAAATGGTAAGACTTCATGTTCAGGGAAATATTTCTTCTGTCAGCCAGTCCACAAAGAGAAAACCAGTTCTGTATAAAAACCTGATTGCAACCTTGAATTTATATGCTCAGTTTGAGTTTCATAGGCCTGAGAAAACATTCCCATGAAGCACTGCAAACATGTATATACTGTATATATATATATATATATATATATATATATATATATATATATATATTGAAATATTTAGAGCGTGTAGGAAGATATTCACATTCACAGCGCCTCATGGAAGTGGGCGGAGCTAACTTGCTAACTCGTTCAACTCTCTGATTGGTGGAATTTACTGAACAGCATCATGGGTAATGTAGTTTTCCAAAGTGAATTATACTGTTAAACACGATTATTTTAAAACTAAGTTGAAATAATGTGGATAACATCTTCAACAGAGGCAAATACTATTGATTAACAACCTCGTTGCTCACAGTGAGTTTGTCTTTTTATACGTTATCGCTAAAAATACATTTTCCTATGAGGAGTTTTTGCTTCCAGAACCCGTCTGTTGCACTTAATTCCTGTCTATAAGAAACAATCAAGATGTTATTTAGAAACGCAGGACTTCAGAATTCATTTTCTTCATGAATACCTCCATCCATCATGTTTTTTTCCACGATGAAATACGGTTGTGAAATGTGATCGCGCACAGACACACATCAACGCGCTGCTGTCTGCTGGCAAACACACAGTCTCAGTCGACCTTGAAACTCTCCCAAAGATGGATCGCTCTCGCTGACGTAAATCAAACTGTGCTTCTCCGGACGCCACGTACTTCAACTGCTGATTTCTGCAAGGATTCGTGGGAAATGAAAGAAGCAATAAACAAAACCATTCACAATGAAGAACAATGACATAAGTTATATGCATCTAGTAGCAAGTGAGTCATTGCAGATCATAATTGTGGACATTTATTCTAAGAAATTCAATATTATGACTTTAAATTCTTAGAAAGTCAAATATGTTTATAGATGCATTAATGCACTTTGTATAGGCTAGTGCTAATTTTGCAAACAATGCAAATTTGTAAAGCTGTAAAAAATCATGATCAATAAGTCATGGCAACATAGTTTCAGTGTTGCTAAGTAATTCATTACTGTAATTTAATTACTTTTCCATTTAAACAGTTAAGGGATTGAATTTTTCTGCAATTTAATTAGTTTTTTCTGATGTAATCGTATTAAATGAACAATTCTATAATCTACAATTAACATCAAAATTTAACAGCTAATGTTAAAATTTTATTAAAGTAAATTTCTCCCTTTATATACTTTAGCCAGTTCAAGAATAATCTATGCAATTTTATATAATTCATTTGAACGAATTAAATGAAATTTCATTTCTAACTGATCGATGTTTTAGGGATCTAGAAAGTAATGTGATATTTTTACATTAATCTAATTACTCTGTCTGAGATGTAATTAGCAGCTAGTAATTAATTACTTTTTTAGAGTAACTTACCCAACTCGTCAAAATAATTTAAGCAAATTTTAACTTTTAATGTTGCATTAGATTCAACTCCATTTTTAAAGTCAGATAGATTCATATAATTTAAGTTGAAATGACTCGTAGTGCCAATTTCATTATATTTAAATTTAAGGCAGAAACTAAATTTATGGTTTTAAGTTGACATAGGTGGAAATTGTTTCCACTGTAGTAAAAATAAACTGGTATTTTTATAGTATTTAAAACTAACAAATAAAAACAAAATGCATTTTCCAACATAAAAGTTAATAATGCAAAACAAAAGTTAATAATTTTTTCTTCTTTTTGACAAAGGCCTAGATATTTAATCAATAATTCTTAATCCCAAATAAAAAATGTGTTTATATTGAACCCAAAAAAGTGGGTAATTTCTGTACCACAATTTTTTTATATATATATATATATATATATATTTCACCTTATTTGTCATTGGTCAGATCCGACCCCAGACTCACATCATTGGTCGAGTCAGAAGTTGACAGATAAATGCTTTGAAAGAGTCACCGAGACTGAAATTCATCCAGATTACATTCATGCTATATAGAACATGCTTTTTTTAGTGGTCGCAAATTACTTATTCACAATAAGCATCTATTCAAGAGTATGTGATTTCAGGGCAGCCGTTGTTTCACACTTTAGAAAGCCAAACAAAGAATGACTGACTAATAGTGACTGAACATTGTAAATTATGTGTGAATATAGTGCAGCTTTAGGTAGACCACAATGTTAAATTATAAATCATAATCCATGCAGAGTGCTACTTGCATAATGGCGTTACTGTAACCCAGCTGACTGTTAAAACTAATCAATCAGTCCTAAACCATTATATGGTCACAGTTTACAGCCTTTAAAACAGGGTATTGTTTCAGACTCGTAAAAGGCCAGACACACAAAACAATTCACCATAAACCAAACTCCCACTGCCCTAAAACCTCCGGACGTCAGCTTCCTGTTTTTAATCCTGGGGTTCGTCATCACGGATGAATAACTCGTGGTCCCCCAGCATTGAGAAAACTGGGGGCCTTTGATGTGCACAGGTAAATAAGTGGAAAGTATTTGCACTTGTCTCGACCCGTCTACGAGCGCTAGGAAAGTATGTGTTTTGTGGCTTGTAATTCCCAAGCCTCCTCCTGTGCATCAAGACAAACACGTGTGGCGCGCTTTTCCTTCTGGAATCTGATTTACCCTGCAGGAAACAGAGGAATGTTGTTTTTGACATTTTTGCAGAATGTCACTTAAATTAAGCTTTGCTTCATCCACTAATGGATATACATATTTTCATATATATCTAACTGCTAAAATTTGAATACTTACTGCATCTAAAATTTGTTGCAGAACTCAATTCAATGCTGTTGAGATTTTGAACAACATCTGTGTATATTTCAGAGCGGTCGGGTTTCTAATGTCTTTAGCAGGTGCGTTTATCTGAGGTGACGTGAAGTACAATTATGACAGCTCCTGGAGGAACGCAAGCTTAATAAAATATATAAATAAAATGTAAATGAAAATATGATTCATTTGTTCAGACAATCAATGTCCGGAATATTGCAACTAATTATACTGATTTGAGACTGTTCAGAGTAGGGATGGGCAACGATTAATCGCGATTAATCGCATTCAAAATAAAAGTGTGTGTTTACATAATATACTGTATGTGGGTGTAGTGTGTATAATTAATTTGTTAATTTGTTATAAATACCCACACATGCATGTATATATTAAAAAAAAATGTGTTATTAATATATCAAATATTTATGTTTATATATAATATTAATTATGAATAAATATATATATATAATATATACATGCACATATTTCTTAAATATCTAAGAAAAATGTGTTATTAATATATCAAATATTTATATTTATATATAATATTAATTGTGAATAAATACATATAAAATATAAACATGCACATATTTCTTAAATATTTAAGAAAAATGTGTTATTAATATATCAAATATTTATATTTATATATAATATTAATTGTGAATAAATATATATAAAATATATACATGCACATATTTCTTAAATATATACATGCATGTGTGGGTATTTATATATACAAATTAATTATACACACTACACAAACATTTATTATGTAAACACAAACTTTTATTTTCGATGCGATTAATCGTTGCCCATCCCTAGTTCAGAGTGTAATACATTTCGAAGATTAAATCTCAAACCACTGGGTTTGTAAAAAAAAAAACAGATTTCACAGTGTTTTTGCGGTTCAGACGACAAACACCTAAACAAATTTTAGACAGGCACGGCAAATTAGCAGGTGGTGCAAATACAATTTTTTGTTATATATGCATGAACTTGAAATGCATTGGATAAAATGCATAAATCTAAATGCAAACAGGCCAAACGTTTGTGAACAAGGTGCATTCTTTAATAAGCCTTGTTTGCATAGGAAGTACGCGTGTTTGGGTTTGGATAAAACGAGAATGACGTACTTTAAAGTAGAGTATGATGTTTCAATCACAACTGATTAGGGAATTGTTGTAGTTTTTCAATCAACCTTGATGGGGTTTGAACGAGCTCCAGCTGCCCGTCCCAATGTTTAACCACTACGTTTTATATTCTGCATGTATGCTTTAGATCTTGAAATGACAATTTATTTTGTGCAATCTTAAAATGAATGCATGCTATGAAAGCTAATCAAAGTGATTAGAAGCGTTTTCACTGTTTCACCGCCATAATGCAATCATATGCTTTGCTGCTAACCAAAAACATGATTATAGGATGAAATATGATGGCAAACCCAAACAAACCGCCAACCTATGGCATCATATATCCAAATAGAAAATAGCTCAAACTATATGGAGTCACAGAGAAATTAGTTTGACATATAATGACAAAAGTATTTATTTAAGTGTTTGTTTGAATACTCATATTGTTTAGGCTGAGAAAGATGAACCATCATGTTTTCAGATCTCCAATTTATTCAGCAAACCCTGGCATGTTGAATTAGCATCGGATGGCCTGGAAAAAAAAGACCAGACGTTCCTCAAATAACTTTGCCTCAGGATAGACTAAACCTTCACTACGGGTGCCAAAGAGTAACGGTACATTCCAATAATGACTGATGTTCAGAGAGCTGTGCATTGTGGGAACTGAGAGTGCTGCATATCCCAAAAAAACAAATGCAATCCATCATGTGTCTTAAAACACAAACAACCCTCACTTTGTAGCATAATACTGAAATATTACCATACTTATTTATCATGGCATGCCGTAAAATAATTACCTTCTGAAAAGAATGGTTTAATCCACTCTTAGTTATAGGTTTACTGTATTTTCCGGACTAAGTCGCTCCGGAGTATAAATCGCATCAGTCAAAAAATGCAGCATGAAAAATAAAATAAAAATTCATGCATCAAAAAAACCCCCCAAAAAACATATATAAGTCGCACTGGACTATAAGTCGCATTTATTTGCCTCTACTCACTCCACACTTTTTTTCTGCTGCTCGATTACCGTTTACGACTGCATATTTAAAGACCTGCAGTTTGTAATCTGCAGAATAGGATTTTCTTTTGGGGGGCATTTTGTTTGTGTTCAGTCTTTAAGGTAATGTTTTCAGGGTTCGGCTACATGAGCAGAGTAGAGCGCCCTCTCGCGGCTGTAGACGGTAATCTTTTCTCTTGGTTCGTGTCAGTCACTATGAATTAATCTTGATATATAAGTCGCAGCTGACTTTAAGTCATAGGACCAGCCAAACTATGCAAAAAAGCGCAACATATAGTCTTCAAAATACTGTAAAAAATGATTGTGATTTTAACAGTAAAAATGTTACAGTGAAAATTGGTAAACAAAGTATTCTTACTATATATATATATACGGTAAATAACTGTAGATAGATCTTATGGTATTTAAAGTAATTTTACTGTAAAATACTGTTAAATGTACAGTTTTTGAAAGTGAAAAAGAACAACTTGTATAATTTACAGTGAAAAACTGCCACAATTCCCTGCGTGACGCTTGAAATAACTATGTTTCTTCTTAGTTTTCTTAGTTCTTGTCTAATCAGTTATGGACATTGGGGTTTTATGTTACATAATGTTATTAAATGAATGTTTATTGCATTTTTTTTTTATTTTCATGTGTTACCATGATGGTGTTTAATGTTAGTGTGAATGACACTGTACAGCTTCTATATATTAGTATTAATTTTCTTGTGGAAAAGCTGCTTGTTTTGAGCTTTGATTGATCATGTGACTCATCACTGCTGTGATTGGTGGTTGTCAGTGTATTGCAATGGTACAAAACAGATGTTAATACTTCAATAGGTCGGTAAATTAACATATCATATATTAAAATGTGGTTTATTACTGTAAATTAAGTCCGTTAAACCAATAGCGTTGCTACTGCATTTTGACTGTAAAGTTCTGGCAACCACAGCTGCCGGTTTTTCACTGTAAAAATTACAGTTTATTTTTTACATTGTAGTTGGTTTTCAGCGAGTCTTGACTGCCAAAAATCTCTATGAAATCGATTAGTGAAAGCCACCCTGGTGGCCAGTTAAAACCAACAAACCACCTCAGACTAGTTTATGTTGTGGTTGGGGGTTCATATTGACAATACTGTATGACAAGAGTCAAGACTGCGGATTGACTGACAGCAGTGTTTTTGTGATCGTAGGTCGCAGTGGCAGTAGAGGAATGTAAACATTAACATGGATGGATCTCACAGGCCAAACTGTGGTATGCGGTTTTGTCGTCGTACTTCTAAACGTCTTGATCTCAACGTGAATAGCATCACTGAGTTTTGCTGTTGGTTTCTGGAATTGGCTCGATCTCAAACGTACCTCAGAAGCTGGAAAAATCTGCGTAGCCATTCTTTGCTGCTGGGCTCATGTAGCGTTTTCTTCCCATCAGGGAGTGAATGACTTCGACTGGAACGCTGCTGGAATGTTGAACTTGTGATCCTGCTTGCGTTTCTCATAAAATGACTGTTGGACTGATCTGCTACCGTTACTTTTGCTGGAGTGCAAAATGATGCTAGAGCATTGCTAAGGTTGATATTGTATTTTTGGTGGTTTTAAAGGTGGTTGCCAAAAGGCTTAGTTTTATAATTGAATGCATTTTGATTAAGCATGATGCATGAAATACATCAAACAACTAAACATGATCAAATAAAGCATATACCCTCTGGTGATCTTCGGTCGTTTGCGTTTGCGGCACATTGAATGGGATGGCGAATTTTATCTTAGCGTTCGGTAAAGTGAAAGCTCATTTATTGAGATATAAAGCTCAAATTTGACAACTTGTTTAGATTTATGGCTCTTGCAGATTTAGAGTTAAACATGTTTTTGAAAATCTACATTTCATATATAAATTGAAAATAGTATTTTTATGCATTGTATTAGCAACGTTTCGATCTCACGAGTCACGACCTGATGCAAATGCCTGATGAATAGGTTGTCAGACCAAAACGTTAATAAAATTGGTACTCATTTGCAAGTACTTATAATGTGCGGGAGTTCCTTGTTTGTTTGTTTGTTTGTTTTTGTTGATTTTTTGGACCTAGTTGCTCTTTTTTTGCTAATTGAGTGTTTAATATGGAAATTACATTTTCAGGTCTATGCTGAAAAAAAAATATTATAAATACAGTGTACATATAATTTAAGAGCGATAAATTTAAAAAAAAAAACGTACTGAACTAAAATAAAGTAATTTCATTTAATTGAAGAAAGATAATTAAATTCTGTCATTTTTGACCGACACGAAGAGCACCAGAGGGTTTAGAAACTATTTTCTTGTATTTCAGGCTCTTAGTAGGAGCTCCCTTTGAGAAAAACGGTGACCATCAGACAGGTGACGTCTACAGATGTCCACTAGACGGCAAACGAGCCACAAACTGCACACGACTGCATCTAGGTATCACACCCCCCTTCGGACACTGCAATATTAAGGCAGATTGCAACAAAACATTTTTTGTGATATTTTCTCTCCTGACTTTTCAAGGTAAGATATCTCTAAACAACGTGTCCGAACGGAAAGAGAAAATGAGGTTGGGAATGACTCTCACCTCCAACCCTAAGGATAACAGCTTTGTGGTAATATACATGTTCACTTTAATGCAAACTACTAACTATTTTACTATATACTTTTCAATGATCCTACTCATAGGCGGATGGTTAAAGCTAAGGAGAGATGCACTTCCCCTTTAAAAAATAATAATTTAATAATCAAATAATTTGGCAGGGAGTCAAAATTCGATGATTGGCTACGTTGCTCAACGCTGCAAGCATGCTGTAAATAGAAACCTTTGACGGTCTCCAGAGCACTAACAAAGATACAAAATGGAGTGCCAATATGTACAAAATCTGTACACGTTACAATAAGGTTTATAAGTTAAAGGAGTAGTGCACTTTTAAAAAAAGTTTTGCTGATAATTTACTCACCCCCATGTCATCCAAAATGTCCATGTCTTTCTTTCTTCAGTCGAAAAGAAATTAAAGTCTTTGATGAAAACATTCCAGGATTTTTCTCCATATAATGAACTTCAATGGGGTCCAAATTCAATGGGGTCCAAATTTTGATTTATTTTTGAAATGAGCGATCGTTTCGCTAGATAAGACCCTTATTCATCGTCTGGTGTTGTTTAAAGCCCTTTAAAGCTGCACTGAAACTCTAATTTGGACCTTGAACCGTTTGGTTCCCATTGAAGTCCATTATATGGAGAAAATTCTGGAATGTAATTTATATTCGACTGAAGAAAGAAAGACATGGACATCTTGGATGACATGGGGGTGAGTAAATTATCAGCAAAAGTTTTTTTAAAAGTGAACTACTCCTTTAACTAAAATGAATTAACCAGAGCAATCATTTTGTTATGGTATTTGTTAATGTTAGATGATAAAAATCCAGCTGTTCTCATTGTTAGTCAACAAGATTTTAATAAAGTATTAGTAAATGTTGAAATGAACTAACAAAGCTTAATAAATGCTGTATACGTGCAGTTCATGTTAACTAACAAACCTTATTTTAAAGTGTTACCAAATAATTTAGTTATTTTTCATTAAAATGCTGGTGACGGTTTCCCGCGGACTGTGTTTCAGGCATGCGGGCCGCTGTGGTCGTACGAGTGTGGAAGTTCTTACTACAGCACGGGCATCTGTTCGAGAGTCGATAGCAGCTTCAACTTCACCCACAGCATCGCTCCGGCCTTTCAAAGTGAGTCAAACTCTTCATTGACGAAGCTTCTTGGAGTGATCCGCTTTCACCACATGCATTCTGACTGCATCAGTTTCTCCACAGGATGCGAGACCTACATGGATATAGTGATTGTGTTAGATGGATCCAACTCCATCTACCCCTGGTATGAGGTTCAAGATTTCCTGATTAATGTGCTACAGAAGTTTTACATCGCTCCAGGACAGATCCAGGTGCGTCTGATTCATCACCTGGAAAATCAGTTTGGACTGTTCTGACTTTGATTTATGAAGGCTTTGGGTTGTACAAAAACAGCACTTACCATTGCACACGTGAGGCTCTGAACTTCAGTTAAAATAGTGCAAACAAATCTGATGATTTAAAAAAAAAAATACACATTTTAATAGATTAATGATTATGCATTAGATATTTTTTATAGCAAAAGTTCTGTTTCATGCATTACAATTACTAAAGGCTGGACTACACTACACAAATCTTCAAATCTGAACAAATATTAAAACACACGACATTTTCAAGTCATTTTGAACGTAACAAACTCAAGAAGAATTGTTGCTAGGAATAGGATAGACATGACAAATATAAACAATATGGCTGCATCGAAAATTGCAAACTTCCCTACTATATAGTAGGCGAAAAACAGTGTGAAAAGCAACTGACGCTGGTGGTAGGTCACATGATAATGACAACATGGTGAATGTAGTACGTCCAGATTACATTCATACTATATAGAACACTTTTTAGCGGTTTTCAAGTAATTGCTTAGTCAAAATAAGTATCTACTCAAGAGAGTATGCAGTTTCAGACATACTACTCTTTTGGCGCACTGTTTTTCGCATACTATGTAGTATGGAAGTATTTCATTATTTTGGACGAATATTTTTCACGTCTGATCACCGATGACTGGATAGAATCATATTCTGATGAAAAAAAAACAACAACAATAAAAAAAATCATGCACTAGCCTACGCAATTTTTCTGGAAATCTGTTCACTGAAGTGTATTCCAGCCTTAAAGGTGTACTTCACTTTAAAAAAAACTTTTTCTGATAATTTACTCACCCCCATGTCATCCAAGATGCCCATGTCATTCTGTCTTTAGTCGAAAAGAAATGAAGGTTTTTGATGAAGACATTCCAGGATTTTTCTCCATATAATAGACTTCAATGGGGTCCAAACAGTTCAAGGTCCAAAAGACAGTTTCAGTGCAAACTGTTCAGACGGCTTTAAAAGATGAATAAGGGTCTTATCAAGCGAAACGATCGCTCATTTAAAAAAAAATTAAATCAAAATTAACAAATCTTTTCCCGAGTCGATTCGTTCATTTTGATGAACGAGTTCGAACAGGAGAGTCACGAACGCTCATCACAGAACAGAGCAAGGTGACCATTTGTGCTTATAAAACTTAAACTTTGTTATTTATTTATTAAATTAGCGATCGTTACGCTTGATAAGACCCTTATTCATCGTCTGGAATCGTTTAAAGCCCTTTGAACTGTTTGCACTGAAACTGTCTTTTGGACCTTGAACCGTTTGGACCCCATTGAAGCCCATTATATGGAGAAAATGCTGGAATGTTTTCATCAAAAACCTTAATTTCTTTTTGACTGAAGAAAGACATGGATATCTTTGATGACATGGGGGTGAGTAAATTATCAGCAAAAGGTTTTTAAAAGTGAACTACTCCTTTAAGTTGAACAACAGAATTTGACAAGAGTGTGTCATGTGAAAGCAAGTGTAATGTAGATGATGATGCCTCTTACCTGGTGTTGTGTCCTGTTGTCCAGGTAGGTGTGGTGCAGTACGGCGCACGAGTAGTGAACGAGTTTCGGCTGGATGATTTCCGTACGGTTGATGAGGTTGTAGCAGCGGCTAAGAATATCGACCAGCGAGGTGGAGAGGAGACGCGCACGGCTCTCGGGATTAATGCGGCTCGGTACACTGGCATGTTTGTGTTTTGTCTGTCTGCCAGCCAAAAACTTCTGTGCTTCATTATTTACAATGGAAATAAGGCAAATCAAATGAGGGCGAGGTGATTTGAAATTGCACAAATCACACTAAAGCGAAGCGTCATAATGGATCAGCTAACAGAAATAATGTTAAACTGGGAAATTTATCCATAAATGGCATTCCTTTGTACCCATTAATTTAATTATAATCAAAGCTCAAGTACTAAGCGTCATTGTATTGGGTAGAGCCCGACCGATAAAGGATTTTGAAGGCCGATACCGATACAAATATTTGTTGATTTTAAAATCCGATATTCCGATATATCGGCCGATATTATTATTTTTATTCTTTTTATTTCAGAAATGCACAACAAAATATTGAGTTAAGAGAACTAATGGAGAGAACTGATGTTCTATTAATAGTTATTAAAGCAATGTATGTCTCGTGACCAACTCACCATGAACACACTTCACCGATTATCTCACTCGCGGATAACTGGTTCTCTCTGACTGGATCAGCAGGTTACAGGATGCGTGACGCGTTATACACGAGTGTTCCCAACAGGGACGGTGTAGAGTGCCCTCTGGTGGACAAACTATACAACTCCAACACTCATGACATGGTTGAAGCATGATTCGTCCGTTTTTATTTTATTTTTGAAATATTCATTTATCGGCCATTATAACTGCCGATACCGATATTTTAGAAAATGCCTGATATCGGCCGATATTATCGGCCATTATAATTGCCGATACCGATATTTTAGAAAATGCCTAATATCGGCCGATAATATCGGCCTGCTGATATTATCGGCCATTATAACTGCCGATACCGATATTTTAGAAAATGCCTAATATCGGCCGATAATATCGGCCTGCTGATATTATCGGCCATTATAACTGCCGATACCGATATTTTAGAAAATGCCTAATATCGGCCGGCCGATAATATCGGCCATTATAACTGCCGATACCGATATTTTAGAAAATGCCTGATATCGGCCGATAATATCGGCCATTATAACTGCCGATACCAATATTTTAGAAAATGCCTAATATCGGCCGATAATATCGGCCTGCTGATATTATCGGCCATTATAACTGCCGATACCGATATTTTAGAAAATGCCTGATATCGGCCGATATTATCGGCCATTATAACTGCCGATACCGATATTTTAGAAAATGCCTAATATCGGCCGATAATATCGGCCTGCTGATATTATCAGCCATTATAACTGCCGATACCGATATTTTAGAAAATGCCTAATATCGGCCGGCCGATAATATCGGCCATTATAACTGCCGATACCGATATTTTAGAAAATGCCTAATATCGGCCGGCCGATAATATCGGCCATTATAACTGCCGATACCGATATTTTAGAAAATGCCTAATATCGGCCGATAATATCGGCCTGCTGATATATCGGTCTGGCTCTAGTATCGGGTTTCTAGTTCAAACAAGATAGTTTCATGTTACTTTTTGGCGTGACTTAATGATTTCATGTTAAAAGAACGTTTCAATCAAGTAGCTCCATAAAATAAAGAAAATAGGATTTCCATTTCGTTGTTATGTTAAATGTTAAAATAAAGTAGTATTTTATGCAATTTAAGCAAGATGAATAAATGGGGAAAAATGGTATTTTAAATCAAAGTCAACTAAAGATAATTTTTTGGAGTGTGATTCACTCATTAACACTGTGTGTGTATGTATTTATAACAGAACCCAAGCATTCAAACAAGGAGGTCGTCCAGACGCTAAGAAAGTCATGATTGTCATCACTGATGGAGAATCGCATGACAGCCCAGACCTGCAGAAAGCCGTGGAAGAAAGTGAGAAGGATAATATCACCTTGTATGGTATTGCGGTGAGTTACGGCTTCTTTCCAGTAAAATCCTCCAGATGTGTTATTCAGGTTTACTTTGGTCCGTCAGTCGTGTAACTCAATCTCTAGAGAAGTTTTCAAACAGGTGCAAAGATTGAACAGGTGAATATAATTCTGATATTGCGGTAGGTAGCAGTTTATTTTACAGTCCTGTTCTGTTCCCCATATACACAGGGTTCCTGCGGGCTCTTAAAAAGCCTTAAAAGAATTGAATTTATGAATTTGGAAATAATACCTTAAAAAGTCTTTAAAAAGTCTTGAATTTTGATGTCTGGGTCTTAAAAATTGTGCTGAATGTCAGTGTTTCATTGACGATAATAATGATGAAAACTTTTCTTCAACGACATTTTTTCATTGACGAAAACGAGACGCTAACTAAATAAAAACTAGTTTTGAATGACAAAAACTATGACGTAAATCTATTGACATTTTCGTCAATGAATAAAAACTAGATAAAAAATGTTAGATAGTGTCGATCTGGGAAGCGATCCAGATCAGAACTGATGTCCTGCGTGTGTGTAGCTAATGTTAAAACACAACTTAACATTGTTCGGCAAACTTTCTTGTGGCCTACTGAAATGTTTTTATTTTACCTGCTTGACCTGAAAATGAACACAAGTTGAAGGATTTTGTTTTTCTTTGCTGATAGGGACGTGAAATAGGTATTCATTTTTTATATAAATGGTCTTAAAAAGACTTGAATTTAACTTGAAGAAACCTGTAGGAACCCTGATACATACTATGTAGGCTACTTATTATAATAATTACAGTAACCTAAAGCCTAAACTGTAACCTAAAGCCTAAACCTAAAGTTCAACTGATATTCCAATGGCGTTCCAGGTTCTTGGCTACTATAATCGGCGAGGAATCAATCCTGAAGCTTTTCTGAGGGAAATCAAGTTCATTGCCACTGATCCCGAGGAGCACTTCTTCAGCGTCACTGACGAGTCGGCCCTGAAGGATATCGTTGATGCTCTGGGAGAGAAGATCTTCAGCTTGGAGGGTATAAACTCTGTGAAATGAGTGAATAGATGTTTAACATAAGCACAATCCCATGTATTTAGAGACCAGAATGCCACAGAAAACCACCAGAATGCATAGCAACAGACTGTAGAAACCACTCAGGCCCTGTTTACACCTGGTTTAAAATGCGTTTTGTTTGATCAAATCACAAGTAGATAAGGTTACACCTGACTTTTTAATCCGTCCACTTTTAAACACTTCTGTCCTGATTTCTTCAAGGGGAGGGAAATACACACAATTTACAAATGAACATGATCAGAGACGACGGGAAAACATACAGAGAGCAGCGAGACCAGCCAAACGCTGTGTGTGTGTGTATTAGAAATCAGGAATGGTGAAAGAACATTGTGCTTGGTACATTTTCATCTTGAAACCAAACTTGGGTCCAAAATCCCGTCTGGCTAGCGCGCTTCCCATAATGTTTATGGGTTTGGTCAGAAGACGGTCTTCTGTGGCTGTTTGAACACATTCGATCACATGAGCGTTTACACTACGAAAGCAATTTGGTCAAATGCATTATCAACGACCCCTGGAAGTGGTCAAAAGTGGACAAGCTCAAAATGTTTTTACATGTATTTAGCGTCTTCCAATGGTGTAAACAAGGCCTCAGAAAACCTTATTAACTCCACAGCTACAGTCTGCCAACCACACACAACACATTAGCATCATCACAGTGAATTTTGCACAGTAATACACTCAATTTTTGACTTTTCTGCAGGCACCAACCAGAATGGTACAGCCTTTGGTTTGCAGATGTCTCAAGCTGGATTCTCCACACATATCGTGGAGGTGAGTGCATCTCCATCCATTTCAAGCAGAAGAAATATAAATATTGACAACAGCACTAATGTGGAGAATTATATTAAGTACTCAGTGAGGAGCACGAAATGCTGTTATTTTGCTCTTTGCACTCTGTGATTGAGTTTGAAGCTCTTCCATTAGCCTGGAGCAGAAACTACACAAAATATCAAAATAAAGAGTCATTGAAAGAATTATTTGTTTACCGCTCTGTGCCCACGGGGAAACAAACCTGAGATGCGTCCTTTTAGGGCCCGACAGAAGCATGAAATGCCACTCTTTCAATTAAAATAAGGTTTGTTTACATTTGAAGCTGTTCCACATGCTGTGAGCGGCATGAAAACAGACTTCTTGAAAGTGAGCGGCATGAAAACAGTCTTCTGATGAGAGAAGGACGGAGGAGAGGGCCTCTTTTGTGTTAGGTGAAGGACAAAAAGAAAAGAAAAAATCATAACTTTCACTGTTGGATCCAAGGCGCTGCTCTTGACAGTGGCAATTCGAGACGGGAGATAACGTCTCGGAAAGTTTTTTTCATTCTTGAGGGAACGAGGTCCAGAGAACACATATGGTTTTGCTGAATTACGCTCCTTGAGTGAGGAACCCTCACACAAACACGCTCACACACGTGCATGCTTGTGCATGTGACTTTATTTGTAAAGAAAGACTTTTGTCTTTTTTTGCTCGTGGCTGTAAATGTTTTTAAAAAGAATGACTTTGTTTCGTTTTATAAGGAAAAGACTTCAGTGTCCATCAAGCCTGCAGTAAATAAAACCTAATCAGATGGAAATAAAACGTTTGGAAGTCAGTTTATTAGCTTGGGCCGCTGACACGGACATGGTATGCTAGTTTTCACTGCTTTTGTTTTGTAAAGAGCTAAATAAAAAAATAATAATAACTTGGTTACAAAACCTTGTGTTTTAACTTTACACTGCTGTCTTCTGCCTATGTTGGTGAAATGGAATAGAATAACAAACAGCAGGGTACAGATCTATTCCTCCAAGACCAAATATATCAACATCAGTTACCATGCCAAACACTCAGAGAGTTGTCATGACAGAACATTAATTATCATCTTTATGCTCCTGCAAAGTATTAAAGGACCAAGAAAGTGCGCTATAAATCCCACAGCCAAAATAACATTACATATTAAATGGTAAAATGTTATCTAACTACTTTTAACGATTGAAACCAATGCCAATATTTTTCAGAAAATCATACTTGCGTTATTTCTGACTTGATGAGATCACAACATTATACCTACGCATTGTTCTGTAAAAAAATATTGATGTTTTAACTTAAAAAAGTAAGTAACCTGGTTGCCTTTAAATTTTAAGTTGATTGAACTGGAAAAAGTGAGTTAATACAATGAAGGAGATTCATTTAACCATCAGAAACTCAAAATTATATGTTATCTGAACTAAATAAATTATTTAAGTTGATTTGACAAAAGGAAAAATGTTGTGATTTACTACACTGTAAAAAAAATATTGTTGGTTTAACTTAAAAAAGTAAAAGTTAAAATTTTAAGTTGATTGAACTGGAAAAAGTGAGTTAATACAATGAAGTAGATTAATTTAACCATCAGAAACTCAAAATAATAAGTTATCTCAACTAAATCAATTATTATAAAGTTGATTTGACAAAAGAAAATATGTTGTGATAACAAATCTTGAAATTATTTTTTACAGTGTAGGTATATAAAGTATATACCTAGTATAATCAACTTAAACAATGGCTCAAGACGCATCAAAATTGTGACCATTAAATAATCTTCTTTCAAATTGAGGTATATGGATAAAGACCACTGTAGTATTGTGTAAGCATTTGTATGTATATCAAACCAGATCCAGCACTTATTGTAATTCTAGTATCTTAGCATAATTGCAATGTATTTGAAGTACATAAAATAGCACTTTATTGTATATGTGTAATTTGTCAATGGTGTCTTTTGTAATATGTTACTGAATTCTAAGGTGTTCTTTAAACTGTGTAGCATCTTATTTAAACTTAAATGTGAGCTTTGTTATGTGTTGTTTGTGATGACCTGACGGGGGACTGCAGATGGAAAGTAGCCTAATTCTGGCATTGCTGAAAAGCTAAGATGTCTATCAATATGCATTGTCCCTTTTAAATAAAATAAATAAATAAATAAATAAATGTTAGGTTGCCTGGCAGTTGCTAGTGTATTATTCATCAACCCAGACTCAGTAACTCAGACAGATTTGAGGGATCATTCATATCGTGCATGATGAGTTAGAAGCTGTGAAGTTTAATACTCAGGATTAGGGTTTGTTCAGGGGTTTGCCTTTGCAAGCACCACTAATAAAAGCAAATGGAACAACCCACAGTGTATTGGAGAGAGTTTATTGTGCAAATGTGCCATGGAACGCTGTCAAAGTGTCCACGTCGACATTGCATGAGGAAAACTTTGGCAGTGGACGCAGTGAGTTTTAGCTCTCTATTCAGACTGCTGCACTCGCTCGCATGCATTCAGGATCAAGCCAGAGAATTTTATTGCTAAAAAATAATACTGAAAACTCTTGAGCAACTGCATTGCAATGCATTCACAACATTCTAGTATTGTGGCATTGAGTTGACACATTTAGTTAGTTAGCACTTGCTATTCAGTGTTACTCAGAAACAGAGCTGGAATAGGACTATGACCAAGTGTATTTGAGTGCTCTCAGAGAGGTTTGGCAAACACTCGGTTTGCATTCCCTATACCGCTGAAGTCCCTGCCAGGCCGTTTGTCATGATCCTATAATTACGCATTGAATCCTCCCTTCAGGTAGATGAACCCCAGACCTGATGCAAGACTGTCTGTATGTTGTGTTGTGATTGTGTGTATATTCCTTTAAAAAACTAAGGGATTTTTGAATATGAACAAAAAAAGATTTAAACCATTCTCTTAAAGGATGGGATTCTGGTTGGTGCCGTTGGCGCATACGACTGGAACGGAGCTGTTCTGAAGGAGACCCGTCATGGTAAAGTCATCCCACCAAAGTCTTCTTACACGAAAGAGTTCCCAGAGGAACTGAAGAACCACGCAGCATATCTGGGTAAGAAAACTAAGCCCAATGAGGAACTCATTTCATGGTGGAACTAATTGAGTCGTTCAAATACCCTTATGACTTTATTTATTCTGTGGAACACAAAAGAACTGGTCAAGAATGTTCACTCTGTTCTTTACCAGCTTATCCACATATTGAAATACATTAAATCAAGATGAGTTGCACTAGGGTGTGTATCAATGGCATTCATTTTTGCAATTACCAGTCAAGTTTAAATAGACGAAAGAAAGTTATAAAAGGTCTTACTTGTGTAGTATGAACTAATTTTAATACACTGTAAAAAAATATTGATGGTTTAACTTAAAAAAGTAAGTAACCTGGTTGCCTTAAAATTTTAAGTTCATTGAACTGGAAAAAGTGAGTTAATAAATTAAGGAGATTAATTTAACCATCAGAAACTCAAAATTATATGTTATCCGAACTAAATAAATTATTTAAGTTGATTTGACAAAAGAAAAAAATGTTGTGATTACTACACTGTAAAAAAATATTGTTGGTTTAACTTAAAAAAGTAAAAGTTTAAATTTTAAGTTGATTGAACTGGAAAAAGTGAGTTAATACAATGAAGGAGATTCATTTAACCATCAGAAACTCAAAATTATATGTTATCTGAACTAAATAAATTATTTAAGTTGATTTGACAAAAGAAAAAATGTTGTGATTTACTACACTGTAAAAAAATATTGTTGGTTTAACTTAAAAAAGTAAAAGTTAAAATTTTAAGTTGGTTGAAGTGGAAAAAGTGAGTTAATACAATGAAGGAGATTAATTTAACCATCAGAAACTCAAAATAATAAGTTATCTCAACTAAATCAATTATTATAAAGTTGATTTGACAAAAGAAAATATGTTGTGATAACAAATCTTGAAAATATTTTTTACAGTGTAGATCAACTAGCTTGACCAGCGAACTACATCAGCAAATACCAATATAGAAATACATGCTGTCTTTTCCACAAAAAATTAAATTGACAGATAATAAATGCTAATTGTTTCAAGGGTACATGGTGTCCTCGGTGGTGTCGGCTCAGTACGGTCAGCTGTACGTCGCTGGAGCCCCTCGATTCAACCACACGGGAAAGGTGGTGATCTTCACCCTGACCAACAGTGGAAACCTCACCATACTGCATTCTCTCTACGGTCAGCAGGTAAAGATGATCACACTTTTATTTTATTTTTTAAAGAACGCATGACAGAGCTCAACAATAATGCCTACTAAAAATTATTACTTTTGAAAATAGTTTTTGCTAAGAATGTTTTTTTTTTAATATAGCCGAGCAGCCTAGATCAGGTGTGCCCACTGTCCTAACTAATGAAACCGCAATAATGAGCAACGACATATGAAAAGGTCCATTAAAGTCCTCCTGGAAGGATCGTATTTTAGGGATTGTTGGGAAGTCGTAATTACCATGTCAGGAGCATTCAAAACACTTGGCACCTTTTCAACAAATAAATAGCAATGCCTCGCTATCGCACGATTTTTAACTCTACTTGTGCAAAGTCATGAATAAAGAATGTGGATTGAGCATTTTGCCGTTTAACATGCTGTAAACTGTATTGTTATATTCTATATCGTATTTGTACAATCCAACCAATGAAGTTTCAACTGCAAGAGAGTGAAAGAGTGCAAAAATCAGAGCAAAAACAGCCCATTTATAAAGTTCTTCTCCATCATTTGATAAACTACTGCCATTATCAGCACAAAACGTACACAATCGCCTCTTTTAAACAAAACTTTACAGAAATTTAACATCTGCTTTCCATAGATGGAAATTTTGTCGTCAATTGTGCCGGAAAGTGTGACGTCAATTGCACAAATAGTGCTGTGTTGTCAATAATCTATAATAGGACTAATTTGCATGAAATAGTGCATGCAGAAGTAGCGTACACTTGGCCTAAATAGTGAACGTCTCTCTAAACTCCTTCCTTAATCCATCTGTCTGCATTTTTTTTTCCATCATACCTTCTCTCTCTGAAACGGTGGCGTGTTTGATTAGAGAAGCACATCAGTAGATTAATGCGGACCATGTGTGTGGACAGGAGACGGCATGTGAAGGTCTAGACTCAGTCACCCGCTCCAGATGGGCAGGCGTCTCTATGGCCCATGTGAACCTCATCTGCACGTGTGTGTGTGTGTGTTTGTTTGTGTACGAATGGCATGCAGTGATGCATACAATAAACGCTGTTTCAAACGCTGCCGGTCGCCGACCACAACATTCAGTTAGCTTAGCTATCAACCTGTTATGCACCAGACCGTGTGTGTGTGTGTGTGTGTGTGTGTGTGTGTGTGTGTGAGCCCTTAGGGAAGCACTTAGATGGGAATGTGATAAAGTGTGTCTCTGGTTTTCTGTCATTTGTAAAGCCGACAGGAACTTTTCTTGCAAATTCGGAAGAATCTGCCATACACTGATGTAGAAAAAAATATATATTGTGTGGCTGTTGAAATACGACTAAATATTTATCTGGTTGGTGTGAAATGTTAACTTTAATTAAAATGTTACTTTATAAAGAAATGTAAGCATCATTACAATGTGAGCATTCAAATCACTTTGATTGGAGCAAGTCGACGAAGTGCCTTTTCAACAAACAAACTTTGAAGATGAAACTGAAATGTTTTGGCACGCAATTTAATCAATTTTGTAATTATTTGTTTCTAAATGCATTGCTTTTCCCATCACACCACACGATTTTGTGGTTCCTCAGATCATAAATCTTGTGACTAAGTGATTCTCACCAAGTGAATGATAAAACGGGAGTAAAAAACAAAATTACAGATGAAAGATATTGACTTGAGGGACTCTTTAGTTAATAAAGTTGCAACCGTTTAGAAGAGTTGCATATGGCCTAATGTATTTGGATATCAAATGCTGACGTGAGTGTGTTTTTGGTGAATTGTAGATTGGGTCGTATTATGGAAGTGAGTTGGCACCGATTGATCTGGATGACGATGGATTGACAGACCTTTTACTTGTTGGAGCTCCCATGTACTTCTACAGAGGGTGGGAGAAAGGCCAAATTTACATCTACACCATCAACTCACAGGTGATGACATAAACACAACATCATAACATTATCTCAAAGTATACTGGGTCTCGGAAAGTCTGTTAAACATAAGTACCGTTAACAGTGGCCTATAGGCTTACACTGCTTGTTTACACACCTCACGGTACATCTGCAGCGCCACAGCAAAATACAGAATATATTTTTTGTTACCTGATTGGTGAGTTCAGGTTGGCTCGAATTTGATGTTTAAAAAATCGTATAATGAGTTGCCCTCCCGAGCTGCACGTAAAAACAAAGAAATGCGCGAAATTAGAATATTAAACCAGTCCGGTTCCCGTGAATCAAGATTTACACCGAGGGTCTGTGACCGAATGACTCTTGTGAGCCGGTTCTTTTAATGAGTCATTCAACAGATTCACAAACGAACTACGGGTTCGTTTGAATCAGTCAGTGCATAAATCTTCCACTGATTCAATCTGTCAAAGGGGGTTTAGAATCAACATTGTTTGTTAAAGCACACCACGGTAAATCTATAGCGCCACATAATTGTTTAATACATAATTACTGTTTTTGTTACCCGAGTGTTGGTGAGCTTGCAGACTGAATTGAATATGATGAGGTAAAAAGACCATCTATTGAGTTATTCTCACGAGTTGCACATAAAAACAAACATAGTTTTTCACTACTAGAGAAAGAGAGCTACTGCGCTACTGTAATACGATTCATTAGAAAATAACATGACATGTTCCTTTAGTTCAGTGCAACAAGGCGTAGTCCGATTCGCCAACAAATGACTCTTAAGAGTCATTCTCACTTATTTTAGTGGTTCATAAACATTTAGCGTAACAGTAACCACCAGTGTACGGCCCTAGTCTGTTTCACATACAAATGGCTCGTATGAGCTGGTTCTTTAATGAGTTCTTCGGGTAATCAGGAATTACTGATTTATTTAATCAATGAACGAACGAACGAATCCTTTACTGAATTGATTCAATCGATCAGAGCGATTACGCTGAATAATGTGATGTCATTATATTATGTTTTTATGTATGATATTTTTGTGTGTTTTGAATTAAATGCATGAATGTAGTAGGCTATATTTCCGAAGTATTGGAAGACAAGGTAAATAGCCTAAACTAAATATATAATTAGTACCCTATACATTTTGATGATGGAACCGGAAGATTATTTAATCAAAAAATACCAACTAACCAAACTAGTGAGATGACAACATTATGAGGTCATACATTGTATAGTATTTCATTCTGAACACAACTATTTTCTCGTCTCTCTCTCTCTTTATTCTACAGGGCTCTTTTATAGCGGATGGGACTCTTGGACCATCAGAACAGGCCCATGATTCTCGTTTTGGTGCGGCTATGTCCGCCCTTCCGGACTTGAATGGTGACGGCTTCAGTGAACTGGTTGTGGGAGCGCCACTGGAAGACAACCACAAAGGAGCTATCTATCTCTTCTATGGTCGACAAAAAAGCGTCCAACCCAAATACAAACAGGTAAGAGTCTAGACTCATCTGAGTCATTGATTTTACTTTATTAAACGCAATTCCGGTAATGCCAAAATACAAAAACATAAGAACAGGTACGACCTTTTGCACTTTCAGCTAACAGGGAATGTTTATATCTTATGTGTATTTATGTGCTGATGTATATGCACTTGTGGAGCCAGAGATATTTTCCCACAACGTGAATAATAATAAAGTAAAGTAGAGTTCTCAGAACTTTGGCTAACTTTCTGAACAACATTCTTCCATTTACGTCAATGGAATGTTCGTTCAAAGTTATCTGGTATTTGGAATGTTCAGAGAACATTTGAAAGTAACATTCCCATTATGTTCATAGAATTATAAAATGGAATGTTTCCTTAACATTTGCGTAACTAAGTAACAACTTTTAAACAAACTAGCCGTTTTGAACGTTCAGAAATAATGTTTTAATAAATGAATGGTAACATTAGCAAAATATTCGGTGTTATTTCCTCAATATGAATGTTTCTCGCCCTCGATCTCAGAGAATAGCCGGTGGTGACGTCTCTCCAGGTCTCCGTTATTTCGGCCGCAGTGTTCATGGGATGATGGATGTAAATGGAGATGGGCTCATAGATCTGTCTGTGGGCTCCTTAGGGGCTGCAGTTCTGCTTTGGTGAGTTGGCACTATTCATCAGCGTTGAGGAAAGTTACTTTGAAAAGTAATGCATTACAGTATTGCGTTACTCCCTTAAAAAGTAACTAGAGCTGTCAGTCAATAAATGGGAAAACAAAGTAACTGGCGTTAAAAATTAACTCAGATATTTTGTTGTAAATTTTAAAAGTAATTCGTTACTTTACAAGTTATTTGAAAAAGTAATCTGATTACATAACTCAAGTTACTTGTAATGAGTTACACACAACACTGCTATTCACATTAGGAGAAACAAAGATGATACACAAGTGAAATATAATTCACGTGTTTTCCAACAGGTCTCGCAGTGTTGTCCGCGTGGGGATCAGCGTTAATTTTGAGCCTTCAAAAATCAATGTTTTTAATAAAGACTGCATCCGGGGAGGCCGAGAGGTGTCGTGTATGTTGGCCAACGTTTGCCTGAACGTCACTGCGCGGACACCGATGACGGATCCGAAGAGAGTCGGTATGTAACTAGATATCCATCAGCAAACCTGAAAATGACTGACCAATCAGAAAGCTGAATGATAAAAGCACATTTGTTGTATTTTCCAGTGTGCTGTGCCTGTGTGTAATGTCTTTCAGATGTTTCCACGAAAGGTCACTCCTTAATGTTAGTACAGTTTTTCCTAATGCATAAAGCCTCAGGCCAGAGAGAAAACACTTTAATCCCGGCATTTAGAGAGAGAAAGGCCCGTGGAAAGCATCATAAAACTGTGTCAGGCTTCCCCTTTGTTTCCCATCTGGATCTTATAAGATCAGGTCTGGAGGGTCATGCACTTAACCCGAGTCATAGACAATATTCATCTCTTCATCAAACGGGATCCAATGGGCATATTTTCACACTTTAAAACATTATTTAACATTATTAATGTCTTGTTACAGTATTTATTAATCTTTGTTAATATTAGTTAATATAAATACAGCTGTTTGTTAATGTTTGTTCACGGTGCAATAACTAATGCTAACAAATACAACTTTTGATTTTAATAACGTATTAGTAAATGTTGAAATTTATATGTATTGTTCATTCTTAGTTCATGTTAACTAATGAAAATTATTGTAAAGTGTTACCAAATATATTTTTCATTCTCAGCATTGCATTTCCAATACAAATATCTAAACATTCACAGATTTTCTACTTGCGTTGCATTGTTACACAGTGTTGGAAGTATATGTATAAATGACCAATGTTTACTCGTTTATTCGTAGATATTTGAACTGGAAAGACAAGAATACTGAGGAAGAGCATCATTTCTTGCAGTGTAGAAACTGAGATGTTGTTCTTGTCGACACATTTACATTTATGCATTTGCCAGAAGTTTTATGCAAAGCGACTTACATTGCATTTCAAGTGACACATTTTACATTCTTATCAGTTCTTTTTTTTTTATCATTAGTATTTTATTGAGTTTTAAGCACCACTGTTACATTATAAACAACATTGTAATCAATATTACAATTGACATCTTAACATATCCCATAGTGATGATACATTTTTAAATAACAATGAAAAAATAGTTAAACCAAAAAAATAATATAAAATAAAATAACAAAAATAAATAAATGAAAAGAGAGAAAAAAAAGGGGGAAAGAAAAAATAATTACAAACAACTTTACATAATGATGATAATAATAAAATAAAATAACATGAAATCACATAAGTCAAGTGTATAGTTTTACAATAAACATGCTCTCATCATCATCATCATTCTTATCAGTTCTTGCTTTCCCTGGGGATCAAACCCATGACCTTAGCGTTGCAAACGCCAACGCTCTACGGTTTGACCTACAGAAAAAGCACTGAGATGTTGTCTTTCTGCTCAGCACTGAGATACAGCTTTGGCTTCGAGGAGAACGGATATTTCCCCAGAGTCGTGTTAGACAGCACCGAAGACCCTCAGCCCAGAGACGTCACCCTGCGGATAGACTCAAAACACTGCCTGCAAGTGTATTTCCACGTTCATGTGAGACACTTTCTGTTCATCATGTTTATCCCTTTTTAAGCTTACATGGGTAACACTTTACTTGAAGGGGTGTGCATAAGACTGCCATGACACCTTCATAATCATGACATGACATATGGTTGACAATAGGGTTCATGCATGTTTATGACAACTGTCTTTCGCTCAATAATGACATTTTGAATGGAAATATGACTTTGTTTAAGATGTCTTTGTAATGACATCTTGACATAAACCAATACATCATAACCTGTCAGTGTCTTTGTCATGACAACTTGACATTAAATTAAGTTAAACTGTCATGTGGTTGGCTTTGACCTTGTCTGTCATGAGGCATTATAACTGTGTCATGAATATTTTTCGTGACCTCAACTACAGTCATTAAAAAGTTATAATTGAATTGAATTGATTTTTATTTAAAGGGACCATGTGCAATTAATAACATAAATGTAAACATTTGATGCATTACACCAGAGTTAGCCTTAGGCTAATTTACATCTGCAGTCCCCCGGCACAAATAAATACAGATACATACGACACAGATTAAAATATCAATACTATTCAAGAATATTTGGCATATCAAACATAAAACATCCAACATTCTTCAAGAGCATATAACATGTACTTAATAACCTCACTGACACGCACACACGCACGCGCACACACACACACACACACACACACACACACTCACACACTAAAATCACAACATACAACGATATGTCCACCCACAACCCCTTCTCAACCCTATAATAAAAAGGTAAATGTGACTGAAAAATAATTCATGACAGCCAATGCCAAAACACCACCTGACTGTTCAATGTAATGTTAACCAATGAAGCTAGGTGGTTTCTTAAGTGTGATCATTAATCATGTTTATGACAGGTTGTGTTGTCTTAGTAATGTCAAGTTTTCATGACAAGGACACTGACAGGTTTTGATGTATTGGTTTATGTCAAGTTGTCATAGCACAAACATCTCAAACAATGTCATATTTGCATTAAAAATGTCATAATTGAGCGAATGACACTAAATTACAGTTGTCATAAACATGCAAAAAACTTCTTTCATATTCATAACGTGTCGTGTCATGGTTATGAAGGTGTCATAATAGTCTTATGGACACTTCAAGTAAAGAGTTACCCAAATTACTAGGTTTATTCAGTATAAGGATCCATTAAATTAAGAAAAAGTGACAGTAAAGACATTTATATTATTACAAAAGATTTCTGTTTCAAACAAATACTGTTCTATTAATAAAAGAATTCAATAAAAGAAGAATTGTTTTCACAATTGATAATAATCATAAATGTTTCTTGAGCATCACATCATCATTTTAGAGTGATTTCTGAAGGATCATGTGACACTAAAGACTGGAGTAATGAGGCTGAAAACTAAAAAAAAAATAAAAAATTTTGTATATTACAATTACAAAATGTATGTTTCTGGCAAACCATGAATATATTTGATCTATTATTTTTTGATTTTATTGAAATCACATTTTCAAAATGCATTTATTCAAATCGCTTAGAATCAGCATAATTCTGTTCCTTATGAAAATGACATTTTTAATGGTTAAACAAGAAAATACAGTTAGTGAAAATGTATGAAATTGAAACAAATCGGATTTATTAATGATAAATATATAAGCAGTTTATTGTGTATTTAAAACGCATTCAATGTATTAGTACTATTACAGGGATATGACATATTTCATGCTTCAATGACAAATATGCACCATATTAGCTTGTTTATGCAAAAACTGTGGAATCCAAATGGATGGACATTTTATTTGCAATTAAGGCCTAAAGATTAGTTGAGTGCAGTGTGTTTTGAAACAAAATGGTGTTTACACAGGAAGTGACAGACTACACACGACCCGTGATCTTCACTGTCAACGCCGGCCTGCGAAACACAGAAGAAGGGCCGGTTCTGGACGACGGGTGGCCAACCAGTCTGCAATCAGAGGTGAGACGGACACACCGCTCATTATCAAGCAATTTATACGCGAAAACGTGTTTTTACGTGCATATGATAAGCATGGGTAGGTTTATTAGTGGTGTGGGGTGCGTATATATTATATGTTTGGGTAGCATTAGTGATGTGTGTAATATTACGCGCAATAAAGTGTGTAACATATGCGCACAAAAACTCATTTTCGCGTATAAATTGCACGTCAGATTGATAATATCGGTAAAACTTTACTATAAGATTCATTTGTTAACATTAACTAAGAATGAGCAATACTTCTTCAGCATTTATTAATGTTACTTAATATTAATTTCAACATTTACTAATACATTATTAAAATCAAATGTTGTATTTGTTAACATTAGTTAATGCACCGTGAACAACAGCTGGATTAGTATTAACTAACATTAACAAAGATTAATAAATATTGTAACAAATGTATTGCTCATTGTTACAGTTAACTAATGAACCTTATTGTAAAGCGTTACCATAACTTCTTTGTCATGCAGTCTTCTAAAATATCTCTCTCTTTCTCTCTTTCTAGCTCCCGTTCTGGAACGGTTGTGATAATGACGATCAGTGTGTTCCCAATCTCGTCTTGCAGAGCAGCTCCGACTTATTAGATCGCAGGTTTGTGCTTTCCTCACACATTGAAACACACCTCAGCTTATTACACACCCAGGGACGTGCAGCAGCACATAAACATGACAAATATTAAAAATAAAGGGATTACAAAGTAAAAGATTATTATTGTGTACATAAAGATATGGTGTATTTCGGCTTGTCCCGTACCTGTAGATGGTCTAGCTTTAACCTCACACACACTCACACATAGCTTTAACCTCGATCCGCTTCCTCGCTAGTCTTTCCGCTTGCAAATTCCTCCATGTAAATAGTGAATCCGTCACGGCGCGAGCGCAACTGGCTTTAATGGAGTGAGAGATTACACTCTGATTGTTTTTTTTGCACGTTACGCCCAAAACACACCCATTAAGAGACTACGGACAACCCTTTTAGACCATTTTTCCCAGCGTAGAAGTAGCTGACCCCGTGTCTCTGTGTGTTTCAGGCAGTTCTGCGTGCGTAGCGAGCGCTCCTCGTGGCCGGTGTGTGTCCATCAGAGAGCGAGAGCGAGTAATGAGCGTGTGGTGGAGGCCAGCCGGAGGAAAGTCCTGGTCGAGGCGCGTTTGGAGAACCGAGGAGAGAACGCGTACGGCACGATCCTGCACCTCACGCACTCTCCAAACCTTCAGTTCTCCAGTCTGGTGGTCAAGGTTCGTCTGATCCCATTCCTAGAGTCAAGTCACCATCATTTATAAAGCGCTGAGTGTTTCAAAGCAGCTTTACAGAGATAGCAGGAACATAATGCAACGCAGTTTGTTTCCAGAAGAAAATAGTGTCACAATCACCGCTTAAAGGGATAATCCACCTCTGGAAAGATGAATGCGTATTTAAAATGGGTCATTTTATGTAGAAGAAATTTGAAATTACATTTGAATCTGCAGCTTTCTAGACTTAGAAAAGCCAGAAAATGTATTTTTAGCTGATGTGGATGAAAGACAACAACTCCCAGAATGCACTTACTGGAGGCCACGCCTACCAGTAACAGAGCGCAGTCGTTAAACAACAAGTCTAGGCTACTAGTGAGTCTAAAAACCAATCTTTTTAAAGAAGGTATTTGTGTCTTATTTGTGACACTGGATGCATATTAGAAAAGTAATATTTCCTTGCTTTTATTTTGAGGCTATTTTAATTCCTTTCTGTGTAAAGCACTTTGAATTACCGTAGTGTATGAATTGTGCTATATAAATAAACTTCCTTTGCCTTGATCCGAGTCTCAGCCCGGGCTTCACCTGTATTTATGAGGGTTTAGAGCGTTAAAGAAGGACTTTAAACATGAGATGGAAGGGGTTGCTGATAAAGAGGCCAAGAGTGAAAGGGAAACCATGAGTCTGTGTGTGTGGATATATTCCAAAACCCAGTAAATTCCTCAATGACTTCATACCTATCTTAAAAAAAGGTGCCATTAAGCAATGAAAATGTTCAAAATGTTGTTGTTTTTTTCTTGGTTGTGTGAACGTTAAGGGAACATTCCATTTTGCAAACATTATGGAATTGTTACTTTTAAATGTAACTTCTGAACATTCCGAAACAAGTTGATACATTTAAAAATGTTAGACGAACATCCAACTGAAATGTTTCCAATTTTTGTTCCGTGCTAGAACATGAGAACTTTGAATGAATGTTCTATTAATATTACTGGAAGAACGTTTGTTCATAAATAAGAAAGTTCTGAGTTAGATGGGAACATTCCCTGTTAGCTGGCAATATCCTAATCCCAATGGAAACAACACAATTGCCCTAGAGGAAATGTTGTTGCCCATTCAAAGGTTGCTCATTCATGCCTCAGGAGTGTTGGTTCTCAATCAGGGCTTATTAAAACAAGCCGAAACTAGTTTTAAAACAAGCTAAAACAGCTGAAATAATATTTCTTATTTTAAAAGTGCAGTAAACAATTTCTGAGAAACACTGTTGATATTTAAAATCAACCCAAACAAACACACCCCTCCCTTCAAAATGCACGAAACACACAATGCGAGAGTGGATGTGTCTTTATCATCGCTGAAGCAAAGCAAAATAATGCTTTGAGAAAAATAAAGAGAAAATGACAAGGAATACATACAGGAGTTTGTTGTTGGTCGCCTGCAGCTCCAGACAAACAATGGCACTGAAAACTGTCCAGTTACTATAATAGCTAACATTACAACAACTGCATATCTTGGTTCTGTGAAACTAAGCAAAATCAATGTTACTCACATATGAAGCAGAAGCAACGGCGTCCGTTTTCCTTTTTTTTTTCCAGTGATATTCTTTTCTCTTTTGTAATGTCTCTCAGCCGTCTCTCTTTCTACAGTCTTCAAATCCCTCTTGTTCACTCTCTTTCCTCCCCCATCATGAACGATTTTTATTTGAGGGCTTTTCTCAGTAGAAGTGTATTAGTTTGAAATTAAAAACCTGTTTGTTTTTCAGGCACCTTCAGACATTGCAGTCGAGTGCCTGAACTCTGATGATACGAGCCTCTACCGGACATGCAACGTCAGTGCGCCGTTTATGAGGTCCCACGCTCAGGTGAGACGCCTAAAACCTGTCTGAATATTGATCAGTGATCACAGGTTTAGTGATGGCATTACCTTCCGTAAACCAAATGTCATGAAATGAACAGAAAATGTCCAAAAAAAACATTGTGTTTCCACACGCCATGGTATTGGCGTTTCCAAAAACATGCATTGGTTCATTTTGGTTCTTTTTTTGTAAATAAATATTACCGCTCGATTGCTTGGAAAAACAAAAATCACATGTTTCAATTTGAGAGAACATGGGAGTCAATCTGCAACAAAACCGAAGCCCGGGATTGTAATCCTCCGCAGAACGGAAAACTCATCGCTTAAACCCGGGATTTTCTTCATATGCAGAAGTTTGTTTATGCCTGTCAGAATGGGGCAGATAGATCATCATTTCTCTGCTCGTTTTCCACATACTGAAGCCGTGCGTCTCGTTCTCTCGGTGGGACTGTTCATCACATCTCTTCTGTGGTTGTTTAGTTTTATTTTGGGCTGGCGTCGACCCAGACCCTCCGTTCGACTACTCGAATATTTCCCTGTCTCTGGAAATTCAAAGCACCTTCTGTTCAAATCCGCTACAAAGCCTCAATTCCATTAATCAACGCCGGTATGGCCAATTAGACGACAGTGAGTAATGCAGAAACCATAAATGACTGCATAGAAGAACAGAATGTCCTTTTATTGTGTTTTGTGTTCGGTTTAGCTTCTTTGTTGACATTTGTTGATGTTTTATTTCATTTATCCAGTTATATTTTCGCCTGGAGTTTGAGTTCAGCAGATCGGTCTTCTTGAACTACGTCCAGATCAGCCTGAGGGTCTCCAGGTGAGGTCATGACCTTTGAGAATCTCATGAGACATTTTTTATTGATGTGCAACATGAATATAGATTAAATGCCTGTTTGCAACATTTTGTTGAGATGAATCTAAGAGTGCTCTGTTTGTTTCATTGCATTGCAGTGAAGGTGAAGAAATGTTTCCAGAGGACAATATTAATGACATTTATCACAGTCTGAAATATGAGGCTGATATTCTCTTCACAAGGTAACAAAGTGAATCTCACAAAGAAATCTTTAAAAATCAAGTAACTATATTTAGCGTAAGAAAAATGTAAGTTGTGTAAGTAACTTTCTTTTTTTTTTTTTTTTTTATGAATTATATTTATTGCCGTTTGAAAAAATAACTGATTTAAACTGTAGTTAGGGCCTTCAATCTATTAAAAATGTGAATAAAATAATTTTAAAGGTCCAAAAAAGAGAAAAAGTAAAGCATTTTTTCATGCAAAATATTTTTAGATTTTAATTTTGAGGTGAAATATCAAACATGTTTTTGACAGGTTTTGTTAGATTCACCCAGAAATATTACGGTAACACTTTAAAATACGTTTTTATTTGTTAACATTAATCAACATCAACTAACAATGAAAAATACTTCTAAAGCATCTCAGTTCGTGTTAATTTTAACATTTACTCGTACATTATTAAAAGTGAGATAACATGAACTAACAATAAACAGTTGTATTTTTATCAACTAATGGTAAAAAAATAATAAGTACTGTAGCAAATGTATTACTCATTGTTAATTAAAATGTTAGCTAATGCATTAACTAATAGGACCTTATTGTAAGGTGTTACCATGGTTTTTTAATATTGAATTATTCATACTGTGAGTCGGGACATTCTCTTTTTTTCCAGAGATTCCAGTTCGTCCCATTTTGAGATCAAACCTGAGCTTTCCCAGAGCGTTCCTGTTGGGATTGGACCGCCCTTCAACCTCTCTTATCAGGTGGGCACGCCATATCCAGACCATTCTTCATAATGAATCAGAGAACCATACTACACTGTGCATTTGAACAAAATAAATATTTCTAAGATGTCTCTGCTAAAACAGAACCTGTTTGTTTTGCAGATCCAGAATCTCGGCCTTTTCCCCGTATCTGAGCTTCTCTTCACGTTAAATGTCTTCAGTGTGACCAGAAACGCAAACACTCTCTTGCACCTTTCAGACTTGGATATCGATCAGGTGATCACATATTTTTCACACTGAATTTCAGCATCAAACTACATTTCTCGCTACTCTGACTTTATTTTTCGCAATTACGAATTTATATGTCGCAACTCTGACTTTATTTTTTGCAATTCCAAGTTTAGATCTCGCAGCTCCGACTTTATTTTTGCAATTACCAATTTACATGTCGCAACTCTGACTTTATTTTTCGCAATTACCAATTTACATGTCGCAACTCTGACTTTATTTTTCGCAATTACAAGTTTATATCTCACAACTCCGACTTTATTTTTCCGCATTTACAAGTTTATATCTCACAACTCCGACTTTATTTTTCGCAATTACCAATTTACATGTCGCAACTCTGACTTTATTTTTCGCAATTACAAGTTTATATCTCGCAACTCTGCCTTTATTTTGCCAAAATTATGAGTTTTTATCTCGTAACTAATTTTCCGCAATTCCAAGTTTAGATCTCGCAGCTCCGACTTTATTTTTGCAATTACCAATTTACATGTCGCAACTCTGACTTTATTTTTCGCAATTACCAATTTACATGTCGCAACTCTGACTTTATTTTTCGCAATTACAAGTTTATATCTCACAACTCCGACTTTATTTTTCCGCATTTACAAGTTTATATCTCACAACTCCGACTTTATTTTTGCAATTACCAATTTACATGTCGCAACTCTGACTTTTTTTTTTTTGCAATTACAAGTTTATATCTCGCAACTCTGCCTTTATTTTGCCAAAATTATGAGTTTTTATCTCGTAACTAATTTTCCGCAATTACAAGTTTAGATCTCGCAGCTCCGACTTTATTTTTGCATCTACCAATTTACATGTCGCAACTCTGACTTTATTTTTCGCAATTACCAATTTACATGTCGCAACTCTGACTTTATTTTTCGCAATTACAAGTTTATATCTCGCAACTCTGCCTTTATTTTGCCAAAATTATGAGTTTTTATCTCGCAACTAATTTTCCGCAATTACAAGTTTAGATCTCGCAGCTCCGACTTTATTTTTGCAATTACCAATTTACATGTCGCAACTCTGACTTTATTTTTCGCAATTACCAATTTACATGTCGCAACTCTGACTTTATTTTTCGCAATTACAAGTTTATATCTCGCAACTCTGCCTTTATTTTGCCAAAATTATGAGTTTTTATCTCGTAACTAATTTTCCGCAATTCCAAGTTTAGATCTCGCAGCTCCGACTTTATTTTTGCAATTACCAATTTACATGTCGCAACTCTGACTTTATTTTTCGCAATTACCAATTTACATGTCGCAACTCTGACTTTATTTTTCGCAATTACAAGTTTATATCTCACAACTCCGACTTTATTTTTCCGCATTTACAAGTTTATATCTCACAACTCCGACTTTATTTTTCGCAATTACCAATTTACATGTCGCAACTCTGACTTTATTTTTCGCAATTACAAGTTTATATCTCGCAACTCTGCCTTTATTTTGCCAAAATTATGAGTTTTTATCTCGTAACTAATTTTCCGCAATTCCAAGTTTAAATCTCGCAACTCTGACTTTATTTTTCGCAATTACGAATTTTATGTCACAACTCTGACTTTATTTTTCGCAATTACGAATTTATGTCGCAACTCTGACATTATTTTTTGCAATTACAAGTTTAATCCTCACAACTCCGACTTTATTTTTCCGCAATTACAAGTTTATATGTCGCAACTCCGACTTTATTTTTCGCAATTACCAATTTAAATGTCGCAACTATGACTTTATTTTTCGCAATTACAAGTTTATATCTTGCAACTCTGCCTTTTATTTTACCAAAATTATGAGTTTTTATCTCGTAACTAATTTTCCGCAATTCCGAGTTTAAATCTCGCAACTCTGACTTTATTTTCCTCAATTCCAAATGTATATTTCGCCATTCTGACTTTATTTTTTGCAATTATGAGTTTATAACTCACAATTAAGACTTTTTTTTGAGAATTGTATGGTATAAACTTGTAATAGCGAGGATAAAAGTCAGAATTGTGAGATAAAAAGAGGCAATTACCTTATTATTCTGTGGCGAAAACAAGTTTCTATATAAACTGGAAAAATAAATAAATAAATATAATTCAAAGTGAAACATTTTTGGCAGATATTTGTTCTTGTTTTAAGCATAAATTTTGACAATGTTTTTAAAAAACAATACGAATAACTTAAGTCATTTAGCTTTTTAAGTAAATGTATCTTGATTAAGAAATATTACTGAAAAACAAGACAAAAATACTGAGTAAGAAAACCATTTTTCGCAGTGGATGTTAATCTGAAAATTGTCATTATTTTAGTAAAAAAATCTTTTAACTGTTTCCAGAGCTTTTCTTTTAGCCTGTTTCATAATGCAAGTGATCTGTTTATCCAGTTTATCTGAGCTGGAATAGCACAAGTTCAATCAGTAGTTCTGTTTTAGTAAGTGGTGTTCTTGTGTAAATCCTCATCTGTTTTATCGTCGAGAAAGGCTTGTGGCGTGTGTGTAAGACCTCTGTTTGCTCGTCTCAGATGGCTGGATCACACTGCAATGTTCCACGTGTCATTACGGCCGGCTCGTCCTCGCAGGAAGACCTCTCTCTCAACCCGCACATGGTAAACTTTGCTCTTTTTACACTTCGTCCAAACTTCTGCAGAAGTTTTGCGAAAGACTAACTGCATCCATCTGCCGGGAAACAAAGCGACAGAATGCAGAAGTGACAAGCTTGATGAAAACAAAGCACCCGACCTGCTTCATCATCACGCTTCAGCTGGCCATTCGTTCGAGGCTATATGTGCTCCAAAAGGAAATGATTCACTCCGTCTCAGTTTTAGCAGTTTCCTCTCTGGCACATTCAATCTCCAAGTGTGACGTGATCAAAAGCTGTTTTAAAAGGGACTCAATTGTGCTTTTTTGTGTGTGTAATGTTGCTGTTTGCAGCATGAAAACTCATTGTAGTCTTGAGAGTTCTCTCCGGGAACGAACACAGTCACAATATTCCTCATTAAAATAATTAATACGCAGAATTAAGGGGCGGGCCTGGTTGAGTTAGTTTAGTAGTGTGTTGTGGAAATTCTTTTATCAACATCTTAAACAACAGTTGAAGAACAAATGAAGATCTCGAAAGTTATAAGTGTTAGTATTTATTTCTTGCAAGAAAGGCAGTTCACACACAGACAGAGTCTGATATGAGAAGGGCAAATGTCTTCTCATTTTACAGAGTTTATATACCCAAAAGATCAACCTCCTAGGTGTACCTCCTTCTCGTCTATCTTTGGACTAAGGCCCCTGAGTTCCTATGCATCTCCACAGTCAGCACATA